CCTTACAACGTTCTATCTTAATGTCATCAAGTATTTTAATCTAACCAAATAAGACGGAAATCATTTTCATATTGAACGAAAAGATTTTGGAATATATTTTATTGACATAAACGTCATCAAAATCGATTATATTCTCTATCGATATATCCCGTTTGATATTTTATTATCACGAATACGTCGAACAAATGTTAAGGATTGTATAATACGCTAATATATAAACATTGATTAATATTTTTTTCTTTTTCTGTACTTTTTTTACTCGAGTAATTATAGTCAATCTATTTTTTATAACGAACACATTATAATAAAATAAATATATTTATAATATACGTGTATCTTTTTTTTTGTTATATTAACACAAACATTCAGATATTAAAAATGATAACTAATATGTATTTAATATAATAATATTTGTTATAGGAAATTTGTTTTCTCTATATTCAAAAACATAATTATCTTTATAATTTCGTCATAGAAAATATTATATCTATAATTATTCCGTTTTCTATGTCCATTATTGGGATATCATAAATATATATATATAATGATAACACATGAATCAAGTTAGTATTTGAGTTTGACGATGAACCTAAAGTAGTTTTATCGATTTGGAAATACATGTATGAGTAAGATAATCGATGATAGGATCAGTGACCGTATGGATAATCGAAAGTGTGCTTCTCGTAATTCTCTGTGTGTGTGTGTTAGTATGTGTATTCGAAAGTGCGTTCTATACTTGGATAATCGAGATTCTAAGGCACAAGGAATTTATGCATATATAGCACGTTCTCGTGGGGGAGTATTCACTGACGATACAAAGTAACCATCTCAACATGACGACAGGATATTCTGTTATATTTTAATCAATTGATCGATTAATTATTAAATAATAATTATTATTTACGATGATATATTATTATTATCAATTGAATGTTGATTTACAATGAGTCACAGAAGTATTCGTATTTTTGTTGTTCAATTTATTAGAATTATTTAATATTTTCGTTTGAAATATTTCCATTACACAAAGGAAATATTAATTATTTATAATAATTATGGATATACATAAATACTTCTGTGAATCTTTGGTATATGTAACAATTATGAGAAATAATATTTAATATATTTAAGAAATAATTTTATACATTTGAGGATATTGTAAGGAAATAAAGAATACGAAACTGATGAATAAAAAAATATTATATATTTAGAAATAATTGTTTCTAAGTTAGTTCAGTAGCATGTTGTAAATCGGTGTTAAAGTGTCTTAGGTTATCCGTAGTGTATGTGTTTAGTGTTCGGGTCTTATCGATTCTTTGCTTTTAAGTCCTTTGGGTTATAGACCAAAAGGTTACTTTATTGCTTTTTTCCAAATATTTGACACTTATCTCTTATTTACACAACCCTGTAAATCTGTATAAATAAATCTGTAAATTCCAGGGCCTACACACAAGAATCAACAAAATACGATCATAAAATTCGTGTATAAAATATATAAATTTAAGCTAATAATAATTTTCAATATAATTTATAAATTACAATTTAAATATATATGAGCATATAGAATTTTTTATATATACAAGATTTGATAAATCATCTGGTAATTAATAATTATTTTCGATACAAGTATTACATCGTATATTCAATTACATATATAAAAATAGAAAAGAAATATTGAATAATTCTAAACTCAAATAAACTAGACACGAAATTCCTGAGTTGCTTTCAAAAATATACAAAAATAATTTATAAATTACAATTTAAATTATAAGCATATAGAATTTTTGATACATACAAATTTTAATAAATCATTCGAATTATCTAATAATTAATAATTATTTTCAATATACAAGTATTTCATCGTATATTCAATTACATATA